TTTGAGTATGTACTACCACCCCACCCTCACTCGTTAACTAGATGAACACATCGTCTGTGTATGTACTACCACCCCACCTTCACTCGATAGCTATATGAACACATCGTTTGTGTATGTACTACCGCCCCACCCTCACTCGTTAGCTATGTGAACACATCGTCTGTGTATGTACTACCTCCCCACCCTTACTCGTTAGCTATGTGAACACATCGTCCGCGTATGTACTACCACCCCACCCCACCCTAACTCGTTAACTATATGATCACATCGTCTGTGTATGTACTAACAACCCATCCTCACTCGTTAGCTATATGAACACTTCGTTTGAGTATGGACTAGCACCCCACCCTCACTCGTTAACTATATGAATACATCGTCTGTGTATGTACTACCACCTCACCCTACCTCGTTAACTATATGAACACAGCGTCTGTGTATGTACTACCACCCCACCCTCACTCGTTAGCTATATGAACACATCGTCTGTGTATGCATTACCACCCTACCCTCACTCGTTAGATATGTGAACACATCGTTTGAGTATGTACTACCACCCAACCCTCACTCGTTAGCTATGTGAACACATCGTCTGTGTATGTACTACCACCCCACCCTCACTCGTTAGCTATGTGAACACATCGTCTGTGTATGTACTACCACCCCACCCGACGGGCTGAGTTTGGCCATCATTAGTGATACGTACTCAATCGGTAAGCAAGCGAGCGAGCAGGCAGCGGGTGTGTGCAGGTGTCGAGATGATCGTTTATTCCTAGCTTTTATGGGACATGTATTCTGGGTCCTTTAGCTATCTATCATTTAGACATTGAGAGCATTTTCTGAGTCACTTAGAGCTCTTTCTGAGTCACTGAGAGCTCTTTCTGAGTCGCTGAGAGCTCTTTCTGAGTCGCTGAGAGCTCTTTCTGAGTCACTGAGAGCTCGTTCTGGATTCTATGGGTGGTGATACATGGCCCTTCTTAGAATTACTTTATTAATAGCTACTAGTCTAAGTGGTACGTTAAACACTGTGCACACCGTCCGACCCGTCCCTATACCCATACATTGCGTTTAGGGTTTTAGAAACCCTATGCCCTGAGTGATCCCGTATGGATGCAGGGGGCGGTGGGACAGACAGGATTTGTTGTGTGTGTGTGTGCATGTGGCTATGACAGGCTTTATTGTGTGTGTGTGTGCATGTGGCTGTGACAGGGTTTGTTGTGTTTGTGTGTGCATGTGGCTATGACAGGGTTTTGTGTGTGTGTGTTTGCATGTGGCTGTGACAGGGTTTGTTGTGTGTGTGTGTGCATGTGGCTGTGACAGGGTTTGTTGGGCGTGTGTGTGCATGTGGCTGTGACAGGGTTTGTTGTGTGTGTGTGTGCATGTGGCTGTACCTGGCTACCCTAGTGTGTTTTTGAGTCATTACATCACAAGATAGGCCACTGTCTCGTACCGCAATACATCTCTGCACACCACCGACTCCGCATGTGTTCGTGGTGGAGGATAGAGATGATGCATTACTTTGACCCAATAGAAGCACAACACCATTGGCATCCCCTCCAAACACGGCTTCGGCACCGTTTCATATACACGAGGACACTCGTCTGTGTCAAAACAGGACAGTGCGTAGTGTTTAAGATGTGTGTATATGTGTGGATGGGCAAGGGTCGCCTGTCTGTTGTCTCTAACCCACTTCTAATAGATTCCCCATTAAAGCTGTTGTAGCTGTGGTGGTTGCTGGTGAATGGGAGCGTAAACAGCGTTCGCGAGCTCACTAACACAGCCACCAGAGAGAGTCTAGTCTAATCATAAGCCAAACTAACACGTGACAGGCAAGAGTGATCCATGAACTAAGCCACGGCGTATGTACACGGCAATCTGATTGGCCTGTTGTCAAAATGATTGCTAATCATGGAAATATTTGGGGTCGTTAACTCAGGACCTGGGATCGTACTCCGGATATGGCGGCGATGCTGATTGTGGACGTTGATTTCGCTCCGCCGAGATTGGTCCATGTGCGTGACCCAATGACAGGCCGAGTGACGGACGTCGACGAGGTAGATGGATGTACACACGTACACACACGCACATGTGTCTGACTAGATGTCATAGGGGTAGATGGATGTGCACATGTACACACATGCGCATGTGTCTGCCTAGATGTCACAGGGGTAGATGGATGTGCACATGTCCACACATGCGCATGTGTCTGACTAGATGTCACAGGGGTAGATGGATGTGCACATGTACACACATGCACATGTGTCTGACTAGCTGGATGTGGCACCGGCTGTCAGAGCATGCACGTGTGTGTGTTAGAATGTACACACGTACACACATGCACATGTGTCTGACTAGATGTCACAGGGGTAGATGGATGTGCACACGTACACACATGCACACGTGTCTGACTAGATGTCACAGGGGTAGAGGGATGTGGCACCTGGTGTCAGAGCATGCACGTGTGTGTGTTAGGATGTACACACGTACACACATGCACATGTGTCTGACCAGCGTGTGCCGATGCGCACACGTATGCATGAAGACTTGCGTAGTACTGTCGTATACATGCATGTACATAAATGTGTACTTATCATATACATCTGCACTGGCATGCAGGCGCCTCACTTTGCTGTGTACATGCACACATACATGTAGACGCTGTTATCAATTGACACACAGACGTTGTTAGTCAATTGGCTCGTCTGCGTTCTCTCAGTTCATAAACATGTGTTCTACTTGCCATTTGCACACTCTTTTCACACGGACACCCCATTAACATGTACACATACACGCACACGCACACGCACACGACCAGCAATCAGTGTACACCCACACTCTACACGTGAGCGTACCACCATGCCACACGCCATTCGCGTGCACTCATACATTCTCTCGTACTATCGCTCACAGGCCTATCTGGCGGAGGCTGTGAGGTTGGCCAATGAGAACTCGACCTCACTGCAGCGTGCACCCGCACCAGCCACACAGTTTGTGCGTGGCAAAGCGAGCCTTCTGCCCTTCACACCTGGTGGTATGGAAGAAGTTGAGTCCAGGAAAAAGGCCCTAGATCAGACCATTGGTGCGGAGGTATAGACCCCTGACCACAGATGTTGTTGGGCTGTGGTGGCTGTATACGTGCGTGTGTGTGTGTGTATTTTTAATTAGCGGGAGTCCCGTGGAACGATTTAATGGTCAACCTTGTGTGCAGCGGATGGGCTTATACCCGGGTATGCATATTCTAGCGTTGATGTATATGACACTTACTTTAAGGTTGGTTGAGCTATGTATGCATACGTGTGTAGTCTACATAAAGCTTCTAACATTTGATGCTGGTATGAAAGCATTTGCAGTGCAGAGTTGTTTGTGTATCTATGTATGTGTATCGTTAGGCTCTTCGAACCCTAGAAACCCTACCACAATAGAGTGACTACTACCACACCCTCCCTAAAACATATAAGAACCCTAGACACCCTGCCACAATAGAGTGATACCAACCCATCTCTGAACTACTACTCGTGCGTGTGGGTGGCTATAGGTGAGAGCCTCTAGTGCTGTGCTTGATTTTACAGATGTGTCTGCGCTGCAGTGGGTGCCGCCTGGCTTTGAAGAGGGACTGGATCTGTGGCGAGATGGGGTGGAGACGAGAGAGTGTGAGGTGAGCACGTGCAAGTTATATATATATGTATATATATATATATGTATATATGCATATGTATATGTATATATATATCTATGTATATATGTATATATGTGTATGCGTGTAGCTGGAGACAGGCGTGTGCTTATGTGCCGAGCTATTTGAATATGCATGTGCACGGCTATGCTGGACGTCAAGGGGTTCACTACGTTGGCGTGCACACCACTAGGGTTTGAGAAAGACTTGGATCTGTGGTGCGATGGAGAAACGCCACGGGAGATAGGGAATTATCAAGCAAGTGCGTGGATGTACGCGCCTTTGTGTATGTATGTATATATGTATGTATGTATATATGTATGTATGTATGTATGTATGTATGTATATATGTATGTATGTATGTGTGTGTGTATGTATGTATGTATGTATGTATGTATGTATGCAGTGTTTGTATAACCATGCGTCAAACTTCATGTATGGCTGTGCCTGTTTGAACATACATATCCTCATGCTTTCTACATATGTGTGCTAGTTGCTGCACTCGACCCCGGCAGCACCTCTGCGTTGATCTGAGGTATCCTTCTGTATAGTAAACGGTCCACATATATCTACAGACGCACTTGTGTACAGAGATAGCAAGGCCCGCATGTACTATAACTCACCTGTGCGTGGGTGTTTCTGAGGGCCAATTCAGTTGCAAGGGAGGGGGATAGGATGAGATATGTTTGAAACAGCTGGATTCGCACCAGCGCATAAACCTGTTTGTAGACCCGTGCGCAACTAGCAAATGCTAAACACAACTGTTGAACTCGCAGCAGTGGCTATGCACTATTGTATACTTTACCGCGAGTGTGTGTGTACGGAGCCATTGTGTAAAGCCTAAACCCTAAACCCTAAACCCTAAACCTCAAACTCTAAACCCTAAACAATCAACACATATCACCACATGCCACACACAGCAGCGCAACACACACAGAGGCGACACCTTAGACGCCATCATCAATGCCACAGCGGATATGCACTCGAGCGAATCAGAGGCAGACACAGACACGGACACAGAGAGTGACGGGGACGGTGTAGAACAGGGAACTCAGCTGGATGACATGGATGGACAGAACGGGGGTATGTATATATATATATACTCATGTGTGAGCCTACCTACAATGACATGTATACTTGCACATACACCTATACATCATATTTGTCTTTATACACATCCCTTGAAGTCAGCACACACATGTATACACATTATATCTACCTACAATGGTATAGCCACCATACCTTTCTCGCCCTTTTCCGCATCGCAGATACCACCTTGACCCGCACAGACAGTCTAGAGCGATTGCTCGACACAGCCACACCGCATGTACCCGTCACCAAAGCCAACAACTCAGTGGAAGAGGAGTGGGCTCATGCGATCGACATCACACACCCTGTACAAGACTTCTACACACGAGTACCTCACATGGCTAAAACCTACCCGTTCGAGCTGGATACGTTTCAGAAGCAGGTGTGATGTTATAGTGGTTTATTATACGCACGTGCGTTGAGGAGTGTGGGTAGGTGGCGGCGAACCCGCAGTACACATATGCACACACA